ACTCAGCTTCCATGTACGTTGACACAAAACTATTAAAATTAATGAAAATTATCGACACATTTTGTTAAATAGAGAATGCTACGTGCGACTGCAAAATTGTTTTACAAATGCCGAAAAAGAACGAAAGAAATTTTCCCGAAACCGTGGAGAGTACAGAGTACGTTCTATAATTTAGCTGAAATGAAATTAAAGATACAAAAATGACTTTCATTTTAGTAGCTACGGCAGCAGCAGCAGCAGCAGCAGCATCGACACAATAGACCCAATAGATAGATAATATTCCGATATGCGGCGGCATGGGCAAAAGGGTCGGTCGGTCGCTCCGATCCGCTTCGTTCATTTGTTGTTGCTGGGTTGGTTCGTTCGGTCTATGGGGAATTTGGATACGCGCCCGAACAAAAGCGTGTGAATGCGTGTCTCGAATGCGATATTAATCTAGCTGCCTTGTCTGTGTGTGTGTGTGTGTGTGTTTATGCCAGTGTTTCTATATACATACGAGTATGTATGTACGTGTGCATGTATATATATATGGAATACACATATGCTGCGCATCAATAGATTTTTAATAAATAACCGACGAAATACTCGTAATAATAATAATAAGCAGTATAAATGCCTTTGAATAGCAAACGCAAACAGTCTGATACCCCGGCCTGAGCCCAATGAGACCCACATCGCTGGCATTGGTGGTAGTTTTGTGGCGCACAAAAAGCCTTACAACAAAATGGCGGCCTGGATTTGCGGCACAGCATAGCACAAGCACACACACATACTTAGAAACAGCAGCTCGCTTGCCAACTGACTCTCAATGAGCCTGTTCCGTAACAGCAAACTGAACATGAAAATGGCCAGATGGGGGAATATCGAAATCGCCATCTGGGTAAGGTTGTGGGTGTGTTAGTAATGCTGGTTAGGGGTGCTGGTTGGGGGTGTCGTGTGGATGTGAAAGCTGTAAGAAGCCTTCGTGCTACACGTTGAAAATATTTGCAAATAATTCATTATTAAATGCATTTACATTTGCCATTGCTCATGCTTTTTATTCATATTTAAACTTCTATATGTTTTCAAACGAGTGCATATTTTATATTTTGGCGATCAACCTGCAGGACAACAGCAAACGGACCAGGAAGCTGATTTCCTCTGGACCTCCCCAGGGACTAGCCGGATACTACAACCTCATCATAAATGAAATAATTAATCGTCAAGTTTATTTAATAAATTTAATGATTGTCCACGATGGACAGTTTTAGATAAAAACACTCTGCTAATACATATTTTATATTGATAATCAGCTTTGGTCTTAAGGTCTTATATTATTTAAAAAAAAAACCATATTAACTAGGTCTATGGCAATATTTCAATATAAGACAAGAAAGGAATGCTGGAACCGTGCGTGCTGGATTCTGAAAAACATAAACTTTCCTAAAATTGTTACCGAACTTTCAAGCTTAACTAAGAATTAAATTTAGCGCCTACATATCTACAAACATTTATTGACATTCTTTTTTCAATTCCATTTGCATTTTGAGTTTGACTTGCTGTGCAACATCGCTCTAAGTCGAGAAGCTGTAGCAACAATAACAAGTGCAGGTGGAGCATAGGCGGGAATTACATACATTTGTAACTAATATTTCCTTTTGAGGTAACACCAGTATTGAGTACCTTGAGACCCCTCATTGAGAATTAACTGAATGTTACTCAATATTTTCAAAACATTGTACGATTGCTAGCAAGTACGCGCCACTTGGCCGCAAAAATAGACACATAAGGAAAGATCCAATGTACAACTATGTACCACTATGTTGAATATTAATATATGAGAGTTTTAATGCTGAGCTGTTTCTTGGCTGCAACAATCAAAATAGATTGAAACAAACTATTCAAATACAAAATCGGTTGGCCATACCGGGAGTAATCGCAGTTTAAAACTTAATTATGTGTTTATAAAAGCAATATTGGAGCCTATTTGAAGACGAATGTGAGGAGTGCAGTCCAAAATACTCCACCAACTGACAGCAACTCTGAACTATCTATTTAGCTAATTTATTTCTAATATGGCAGATTATGGATTTTGTGCGGGTAGGTTCTGACCACAATATTTCCATTTATATTTAGCGAATGTTAATAAGACTTAATTGCATCGATTGTGCATGCTATTGTCTACCTTTGTTTCTCATTGTTCCGCGGTTCGCTTTTCGCGGTGCATTTCTCGAGAAACTTCTCAGTTTTGACAAAATAAGCTGCAGAAGTAGAAAGTCTCTTAAATTAAAAATTAAAATTACAGCGAATAAATAGCAAAAATTACGCATTTTAATTTTTTTTAAAATTTATTTTAGTGTTTAAAATGAGTTTAAAAAAGGCTTTTCACTTAAAATTATAACGGAAGCCTTGAAAATCCAAGGATATTAAAATTGCGAAACCTAGACAATGAAATTATTTTTATTATAAAGATCATATATTTCAAAAATCATAAAAAAAAGGTTTAGTTTCTATGTAAAGTATTTTACTGTTTTTTTTTTAATTAAATGTATAAAAGGGCTAATGTCGAATTCGATTAACGATTACAATTTTTAATCTGAATAGCCGTTAATTTCAGCTGGGAACCAAATCCTCTATGAGGTGATTAATTTGTACTTTACTTAGGTACCATAACACGCCTTAATATCTGGTGATGTCCTGTAGCCTTATGGGTTGGTCTCTTGAATTCAAGTTAAAGCTCTCACCTTTCTCAATTTTCACCTATGTATGTATATATAATACTATAAAAATATCTAAAAATTGTTTGACTAATATCTTCTCTCTCTTGATAAACCAATATTAAACTCTTTGTTCAAGTATAAAAATATATCTCAAACTTACTAACATTTTTACACAAATAAGATTTCCTCATTAAATAAAGTACGAATTTTTCCTCAAGTGTATTGGGTGGCTGTAAAGTCCCTGGTTTTGGGTGGTAGTGGTGGTGGTTCGTTTGGTTGGCTGCAGCCCTATAGGCCAAAGTTGAAAGGCAAACTCGTATGAGGCGCATTTTTGGCGAATCATGTTTCGTTCATTTTTCAAAAGAAAAATGTTGCATGCGACGGCTGCTGCTGCTGCTACTGCTGTTGTTACTTTTACTGCCACTGCTATTGCCACTGGCAGGCAGTGCCACCAACAACAACAACACCAACTCGAACCGAGACCAACGAGCCAGACGAGTTTTGCTCGTTCAGCCTTCTCAGCTCCTCCTCCCCCCCCACACACTCTCTCTCCCCACCACCATCCTGCTTCTTGGCTTGCTGCCCACTCCGTTTTAATAACAAAAGTTCGTGTGCGTGTCAAAGTTTGTTTGAAAGCAGACCTTTGGATATGAAATGGGGCGCGGTGCCAAGCTGCCAACTGAGAGATTAGCAGCAGCAGCAGCAACAACAACAACAACGACGAAAGTGGCGGAGGCCGTTGATGGGCCCAAGGCAGCGGCTTTATCGATATCAAATAAATGGAGCGCTAGCGGCGGGCGGTATCAAGAAAAACGAACAAACGAAACGAAACCGAAAAAAGCCCATTTTTCTTTTAATTTTCGTGCCTGTCAACTCAAAATGCCTACGTTCATTTATAAACGTCTCAAGAATACACGCACACACAAGCTACAATGGCGTCGCTCAGCAAGCCCTTCCCCCCACCACCCCCATTTAAGCACGCACACTCCTATATCAGGATAATTCATTTTCGTTAACACTCGTACAATATATAAGGGAGCAGCAGCCGCCATTTTGGCAGGCCATTTTTCTTCTCCCCTCCCGTCTCTGTCGAGGCAAAGTTCTCATCAGTTGCGATGCAGGTTTCAGATTTCATTAACAGATTAAATGGTCTTGCTTCATAGTTGATAAATAATATGTACTTTAATATTATAACAATTTGAAAGTTCAACGCTACTCTTCAGAATACTAAGTTTATTGTAAGATGTTGCGTTTAGGCGTGTCCTGCTGAAGTTTTTTTTTTGCTAACACGACTCTAAGAGAACCGATCCCAGCTTTATACAGTTTTGCAGTTATGGTTTGTTATATGGATAAGACTTAGAAGCTTACATGCCAAGTTTGGTGTCGCTTGCCGTTAAAGTTTAAATATTCTCGATCTTTCAAACCTTTTCCCAGTCCCATAACTTGAACATACTATACTCTCCAAATAAAAACATGTATGTTCCTGATACCTGTTCCCGATTTTTCTGAAATCTAATAAATGTTCTGAAGCTATTCCCTTGGTTCTTAAATTTGATCACACTTGGAAACGATAAATAAATAGTTAATTAATTCAAGAACTGAATTTACATTAAAAAGGGCAACTCTTATTAAGATAGACTAATCTATAAACAAACCAAGCAGCTATACCCTATTTCTAGTACGATGTTGATTGAAACCCAACCTGATATTTTCCAGAATATTTTCAGAATACTAATAGACTACAATAATAAAGAACCAAGCCAGATTTAGCAGATATTTATTTAGTCCTACTACTACTAATACTGTAGCAATGTTTTATTACATTCTGACTAAAACCCAAGCCAGTTCTGAATGCATCTATATATCTTAACTAATTGGTAGTAAGGACGTAGCGACAATCTGAGTAAAAATCTCATAAGCACGATCAATAATATAAGTACAATTATGCTTATGAGTTGAGTGTCTTATTTTCTCAACCAATAAAATTGTTATAATCTGCACATCTGATCATTTAAATCGAAACAGTAATAATATATGTTTATCAGTTGCTTTCCCCAATTCCTCAGCCAAGTGAATTGTTTTAATCATCATATAATATCGAATGTCGAAACTGCAGTCATTAAACTTATCTCCTCAACGATATAAGATGCAAAACCTTCAATGTATAGTAGACTTGTTTCAAGCGCGTTTTCTTTTCTTTACATTCTTTTAGATAAGATAATATACTAACTACTTATTCTTAAAAATTATGAGTCTTGCTTGCTAGCGAAAAGAGTTGTAGATGAAAGCTTTTCAACTTACCAGTTTCATTATCAATCGTAAAGGGTATGCCATCCCATTCGTTTGTAATATCTTCCAGGGGATTCGTGCTCTTGTCATCAACCTTGGGCTGTAGATGATGGTAAACATTTATAAATTGTACCAAATCTTTGTTATAAGCAGTCCTATATCTCTAATGTTTAAGAGATTACAAAGATTTCTTTTATTTATGCGTATTTTATTTGAAAAGCTCGAAAGTGCTGGGCGCTGTTTGATAAAAACTGCGCTCTTTGCAGAATGTAATATTGGAGCATGACTAATAACCGCAAAGTCGATAAATGCGATATCAAGGCATTCAAAAGAAAGATAATATTGCAAATTACTATCGAACTGCTTATAAATAGGAGCTCTATCTATTGCTGCTCTCTTATGCAAATATTGTGAAATTCAAATGTAATATCACGTCAGAGCACTTACCTTATCTTGCTGAAGCTCCTCCAAAGCTTTCAGCTTCTCAGTATCGTCCGTAGAGGCGGAGGAGGAGGAGGAAGAGGCGCATTCATTGTTATCAGAGTTCTTGGCATTATCCGTCAACGTTTTGGCCGCATCGGCCGATGGATTGCTTCTTGCGTAGGATGCATTAATGATATCCTCTTGATTGAGACTGAAGCCCAAATCGACATCCTGCTTGTAAAGCACTTCAGCGATTTCGCTTTCCTATAAAAAGTAGCATTTGAAATGTTCAGGAATTGCTTTCACACTTTACCATTCATTATCAATAATGCGAGTACAACACAATTTTGATATCTAAGTAGTAGTTTGTATTTACAAGAGATTCTCCAAAGAGTATGACTTTCATGTTTACGACTTATTTGCCGTCGATTCACTTGCAATAACACAATCAATTGTTTATGATTTCCACCAATAATTATTGCGATACTCTTAAATTTTGACTACACTTTCGAACGATCTGTCTACATTAGCTTGCGACTAAAGAGAGACTGAACCTGGTCGAAAGCGCAAAAATAATAGACCAGCTCGCACATGGCGCTTGTGTTTACTCTTACGAGTACTGCTTTTATAATACCCATTTCTGATAAGCTAACATGCTAACATGTTGACGCGTCTCGTTCAGATAATTCCACCCGAAGAAGGCAGGCCCCACACTTTGGTGTTAAGTTTGTTAGTTGGACTGTCTGCTTTCGCATATAGAGGTGTAAATTTTATCAGTGGCGTAATTTTTGAGATAAATCATTACTGTTCTTAGCAATGCTTTAGATGCCCAAAATGAAACTTAAAAATTTGGAAACAACACGAGCTTGTCTACAGCAACGGATAATGAGGAGATCGGGTCGCACACTCTTATAATGCGAAGAGACTCTAATTTCCATTCAAAATGTCTTGGCACTCTATTTTCTAGTATAGGCGAGAACTCGACGACACACTCTTGTGGCATGATTTGTTTACGATTTCATACAGAAAATTTATGAATTGCGCTTATCGGTTGGCGACACTGCAAAGAATACATATTTCATATAGATTTTCCTTTCAGATGCTTGCATAAAAATTAATTTACACAAAAGTAACAAGATACAGCAGATTAGATATAGTCTCCACCGAGATGGATCTGACGGCAATTTATTTCAAATGCGAGCACGTTTTTCGGGCCTTCTGTTTAAAACTTAAGTCAAATATGCGCAGAAACTTGTTTACCTGTTCAAGGGGGTGCAAAAATATGAAACAAGAATTTAAATAGGGGCTGCTTATCAAACCGGCTAGTGTCGGCTTAAAGAAGATACCACAGTAGCAAAGAATTGGCTTCTTATATGCCAGCAAAATTGGAGCTCATGAGAGAAATCAGAACCGAATTTTGTTGTATAAGAGATGATCTTCAAGGGCCCGCAATAGAGCTAAAAGCTCGTACTGCCTCCTTAACGAATAATATATTTAGTTCTTAAAGTGCTTTAATTATGTTTGGTGAATTGAATAAATTCAAGTTCGTTAAAAATGTATTTAAAAAACAATCAGTTACTAGCCGCAACACAGATGTTCTATACTGTCTATATGCAGACAATAGTGCTTATGTAAATAGACTCTTAAAACACGGAATGCATAAATACGGAATTTAAGTTCTGCTTAGGCTCTTAAAGCACTGACTTCAGTTTTTGGCGAAATCAAGACATAACCAATCAGTATGTAAAACAGATAAAGAAACCTGACTTACAGTTTATACTTTTGACTTCACATTTATGCAACTCGTTGCGCAAAAGTGAAAAGAAAACTGACTCTATAACATAATAGAAAGATAACGATTTTGTGATAGGGCCATAATTGCTTGATCTGCTTCGAATTTGTAAACATCGTATGTCAAATAGAAGATTCTTAGTTCGTATATTGTCAGACGGAAAAGACTTAGATGGACTACGAACAGCTTTATATACTTTTGGCGCAATATTTTTCTTTAGGCAAAAGTAAAAGCAAATTAGAACTATAATTAAAAAATAAGCTACATACTAAGCTGTAGCATTAAGTTCTTAAACATTCTTGCGACTACTCCTAAATGGTGAATAAACGTGATCTGCTTAGAAATAAAAAAAACTTCGGGCATGAAATAAATTGTCCTTAGTGCCTCTAGAACAAAGGCTCCGAGTTTGAGGCGGGCAGACATGACTTGGATCGACTACTGACATTAATCGCTGTGGGCGCAACATTTGTTCACCTCTTAGCCTAAAAGTGAATCACCAGTTGGCTGCAGAAGGTTGAAAATACTCCACAGTTCGAGCAACTGGCAGTGCATTGCCACAGATTCCACTTATATAGATGTATTGACGAAATTCAGCCACAAAAAGTGCGACGACTGCACAATTTTTGCAAATTCATGCAAGAAATAATAATAAAAGGAATTCAAATTATAGCGTTAATGATGCATTATTAACGCTGGCCGTAACCAAAAAACCTCGTCGAGACACTTTATAATCCTTTTCTGCGAGCGTCCGATCGACGGATCGACGGCCAAAGTCAACAACATTTCGAGGGAAGAAGAATGGGCTGGTGCCGAAAAATGGGCGTCTAAAGCCGCCTGGCCCAGACACACGGGAAATTCTTTGGTTGGGACAGCCAGCCAAACAGGTAGAGTTGTCATTTTGAAGGGATAATCAGAGGATAATGGCACACATTAGTGTGACGACGACGACGACTGCAAATCATTTTGACTGTCAGTAGTTTGTTGGGTTTAAGTAAAATGTAAAAAGCGAGCAGGAACTGATTTTTCCTTCGTTTTTTCAAAATCATTCAAATTGTAAAGTTACGAGTACGCGACTACAAACATCGGCGCATCTTGGAATGACACAACAATTGTCAAAATGACAGTCACAGTTGGCCAGTAGCTGGCATCGGTTACATGCAACAACAATAACAACAAGCAGCAGCAGCAGCAGCAGCAAGTGGCCAAAGGCAATTGCCTTCCCTTCAAGCCATGGCCATTGATGGCTTAATTAAAATGTTTCAACGCCGCTCTCAGAGCCGACATTTTTCTTTTGCTTTTTTCTCTTTTAATTTTTCCCCGAGTGTCAAGCGACAATTTTTGTCCATTTTACCATTTTCTGCCCCCCACCCCTTATGGCGATGCACTGAGAATTTTCTGCCTTTTTTCTTTAATGAAATTGTATGGCTCGGTGGTATTGTGAGGCTTTCTTGAGCTGCCGCTGCTGCTGCTGCTGTTTGAAACTTTTTTTCTCGGCCGATGTTCGTGTTGGTGTGTAAAACAAAAAGCAATCAATCATTGTGTGTGGAACCACGCCTATCTCCTGGATTAGTCAGCAGAATATATAGCATGGCGGCGGCATCATTGGTCTTTCTTTCTTTCTCTCTATCCATCTAAAAGGGAGACCGAGCGCTGCAACAACGGCAACTGCGGCAACTGTGAGCCCAATCAATTGCCTGCGTCGACGCTGACAGCGCTGCTGCCCGGTGCACCCTAGGGACGCTTCTATTTATATACAAACACACATATACAAATGTATATATATATGTACATGTGTATGTCCCGCATGCTACACATGCTGCGCGTTGCGCATGTTCGGTAAAAATAAGCAATTAAATACGTAGGGCTTAGATGAGCCACCCTGCTGATTTCTGGGGGTTGTGCCTTATACTTCATATACATATACATATATACTTGTTTCTATGTATGTGTGTGTGTGTGTGGTTGGTGTATGGGAAACTTTGCATATAGCCGCCACTCAGTCGCTACATAAGTGCTGGTGTATGGGTTGTTACCGAGTTTTAATTAAACTTAATGCCAGTTTTTATCCAAGTTTTAATTGAACTAGGCCGCTCATACTGAAACAGTTAGTTTTTAGCTTAAAGATAACGCGTCAAGTGGTTGTTGCTCTGGCCATTGTAAATAAAACCCAAATCGATTGCAAGTGAACTCATATTTGTTGCCTTAAGAGAAATCATTCTATAAAGCTCTTCTTAAGTTTATCTTAATTACGCAGAACTTATTCAAGTAATTCCATAGCAGGATTTTCGTAATATAGCTCCAATTGATAAAATGAATGAAAATAAAACGCAAGTGAAATTAAGAACAGCATACTTTTAGGATGCAGCTTTCGGATTTGCTGCTGAAATAAGAACCAGAAAGCCAGCAAGAAAAGTTCAACAAACATTAAGAAATTGAAAGAGCAAGTAATATAAAATATAGATGCATATAATATATTCGAAAATTATAAAACTTCAACTTTCGAATACCCTATACCCACCCCTTACCTCGCTACAGTCATTCAACTAAAATATAGTAGACCTTGATCTACCAATAATTCCGACAGCAGCTATATTATACAGTCTACCGGTTTGAAGAGGCGCTAAAAGCCAATTTTCTTAACTAACTTTTACAAATAAATAAATTGTTGGTAATTCCTAAACAGCAATACTATATAGGGCACCAATATTGAACAAATTATTTTTTTCAAGAAGAGGCACTATAAATAATTTAAGTACGCTTTATAAACAAAAAATATGTTGGTACTAAGCTTCATTTCTACATCGATTAGCATTATGACGAAACATCACAATATTGTGACACTCTATATAAAACCTCTAAACACTAGATATGCTTTAGATATCTTCATAAACGAAAAAGTGGGATTTTTTAACCGATCAGTTTTATGGTAGCTTTATAAAATATTAAGGTTTAATTTGGTTTGTAATAAACTTACCTCGTATATGGATGAGATAAGTTTTGTGTCCCTAGCTGCTAAGGTTTAGAAGTTATTGGAGTTCATACAGACGGACATGTCTATATCAACTCATGTCGACAAGCAGACTAGGGCTGAAATCAGCCAAATAGCTGTGAAAAGGTGGGGCATAACATTTCACCATTGAAAGTCATCGCTATGGAGGGGCCACGAAGTCTTGACTGTCCGAGCAACGGGTTGGAAAATTCTTTCATGGCTTCTCATAGAGGGAAGCCCGCTAGTGAAAGTTTCGTGGTGGTTTTCACCTACTTAATGGGAATGTTTGCCTGGCAACAAGCATTCATATTGTATTCTCAGTTAACATTTATTTTATTAGTTAGTTAATGTCACTTAGGGCAGCTGTATTGGTACGTTGTACTTGTAACTCGCTGTGCTATATGCACAGTTGTACGACTGATTTATAGACCTTTTTCGCTTTTACGAGGCTATACAAAGTATCAAGAGTTCAAATCGGACTAT